CAAATTCATTCTTGTTTTGTATTCAAATTGCATTCATACACAGATTGCTGTACTCTTTACCATTGAAATTTTAAGAGTAAAAATTTAAATTCTCAAAATTTACTCACCCTTTTGTCACTCAAAATCCTTACCGTTAGTTCGGATTCTCCGACTGGATTGGCTGAGTGGTGTTTCGGAGTGACAAGACAGGATGGCACCTTTCCCTGTTCCCTGTATCACTCTGCTTGTATGTATTTTCTTTTCGCTGATCCTTTCTAGTTAATTTTTCCCTGTACAATCAAAAAAACCTTGTATGTTTTGCAATAATTAGTTGGTCCACAAGGCTGGTCCACAAGTTGGTGCTAACACTGACCTGGGCATGAAAGAAACAGAAGAGAAAGAACAATAACACTTCAAACTTATGTGAGGGGATAGATACTAACTAGTCTTTTTTAAAAGAATGGGGATTCACTTACTATTTCTGCAAATTACATTGATACACTAGCAGACTGTCTTTATGACGAAGTGAATCATGGAATTTGGAATTCTTCCAAAAATACTGATTAGTCCATGAAAAAAATAAGTGTCTGGCTTTATGAATGAGTCATTGAATTATTCACTGAACCAAACCTCTTAAAAAAACATTAATTCACTGAAGAACAACTATTTGTGGTCAAAGTTCTCTTAAAATTAACTTGTAAACCAAAGAGAACATTAATATAAAACTTCAGTTCCCCATTTTTACTGTTAGATCAAAAGATACAAAAAAAAACACACATACACTATATGACTGAGTATCTATATTTCAGAATTTAACAAGGATTATTACAAGAATCCCCGAATCTTTATCTGTATATAATACAGAACTGATTGCCATAGCCTTGAGATAGGCTATACTGTAAGAGATCAAGCCTAGGAAACTAATATGTTCAGATTCTGCTGCATCATTGTGTAGCATCCAGTCAAGTAAAACAAATAGAAATGACAGATATGAATACTAGCCTTATAAAATTGAAAAGATTGGGAACACATGCATTTCTGTTGGAATCCTGCTCATGTTGAAATAGAAGGAAATTAAGCAAAACAAATAGCAAAAACAGCACTAAAAATAGAAGAGAATATATATTTAAAATCCCATATAGCAGAAATGAAGGGAAATCAATAATAAAAGCTGCTTTCAACAAATCATGACAAGATAGATAGGGATGGGCAATAAAGCAAGAGAATATTTCAATGTTCAGAATTCAGTTAAAATGATGAAATTCAATAAATTCAGAAGCGAAGTTATATATTCTAGACTGGGACACAGGATTAAATAATACATTATTTTTCATGAACAGAATATTAACAGATAAATGAGAACATGTATTAATGAAATGCAATAAAAAATACAGAATGAGTCAAACTTAAGTAATATCTAAAACAGGCAGAGAATGAGATTATATTGCCTGTAATGGTGCCTACCCAGTTTCATATGGAATGTGCACAGGCCATCAGAAAATGTACTTACAAAACCTTGGTGAATGGAGCTGTTGTTTGACAAGAATATTATGAAAATGAAGCTGTGTGTACTAGGGAGACTGTGTCTGTGCTAGTAATCATGTTTCACTCTCATTTCAGTTCAGCACTGGAACTGAGAGAAATGGCAGAACTAAATGGATTTGCAAAGAGTTTGATAATCAGAAGGATTTGCACATGGACAAATTCCCTTTTGTTCTGATGTGAACCAATAGAAGATGCCGAAGAAAGCACAATACATGTGGAAAAATGATAGAGACGTGTGGCTGTCACAGCAACATCCATTTAATGATTAATTACCTAAAACTCACCTTATAAACTACATCGAGGCAGAGACTTTATTACAAAAGTGACTAACAATAAGGGTTATAAAGTCCATTAAGTTCAGTTATCAGTATCTTATTCTCCTGTGTGGCTATTATCCAAATAGCCTCTTTTGATAAAAATATAAAAAAATCATGTTATCTTTCAGTGGGGGTTAGCATTCTAATTAATATTATTCCATCACAAGCTTATCCGCTCATATAATGCTCTATTTCATGAGGAACATACAAAACAAAAAAGCCTATCCCTCGAGTATCGTACCATACAATAGCGATGAACAATTCTTTCCTTACACAGTGAAACTGTGATGACGTGCTAAACAAAAGGGTTGAGAGAAGCATCATGGTTATGAAGAGATTTATGGCAATGCTTATCTTAACTTAATAAAAATGTAAATGATAGCACAAACAAGCCTCCGAAAGTTAATAAGCTTGTTGTTTGGTGTGAAACAGACTTTTATATTTGAGGCAGGGACCATTTGTCTTAAAAATTATTACGAAAAATTAAATTAGTACCAATGAATGTACTGGTGCTCTAACCCCATTTTGGTAGGAGAATAAGTATCTAGGCTCTCTCCAATTATCCTTGCAAATATAATAAGATAATTGCGGTCTAGTTATTGTACATCTGCTCATGTGTAATTTACATGAATCGAGTCTATGCAAATGGAGGCGGTAATGACTTCAGAGATATTGTTATGCTGTAATGTTCGTTTTACAAACCTATTTAGCAATCAAGTGGCCACAACGCACTTTACATATCTGGTGTTAGAAAAAGTCTACTCAACATCATTTGGCAACCTATTCCACTTTCCATGCATTAGACTGCATTCATCAGTGTCACGATCAATTTGCATACAATTTATCTTCCCACGCCCAGTCAAGCACTGTCGCAACACAAAGGACGCACAGGCACAGGGAACCTATGCAACACTTTCATTCACATTTCAGGGGGCTTTAATTCAAGACCTCTAAATTGCTGTGCATGTGTGCTGGGGGACAAAAGAGGCTGCCAGTGTATATAACATTAGTCATCTGGCCAGGCATCAAATCTTTTCTATCTAAATGCTGTTGAGGGAGGTTTCAGCATATGCTAAATGTTTATGTTAAAGGAATAGTTCATTCAAAATGAAACTGTGCTGAATATATACTCACCCTCAGGCTGTCCAAGATGTACAGTAGATGAGTTTGTTTCTTCTTTGGAACATACTTTTTTAGAGTAGTTTAGCATTATATCACTTGCTCAACAATGGTTCCTCTGCAGTAAATGTGTGCCGTTAGAATGAGAGTCCAAATAGCTGATAAAAACAACAACAGTAATCCACAAATAATCCACACAACTCCAATCAATCAATTAACCTATTATGAAGTGAAAATCTGCATGTTTGTCAGAAACAAATCCATCCAACCAGTCCATAATCCATAAAAATGCTTCCTCCAGCATGTCTTCTCACATTAAAATCCACTTGTAATCCCTTGTAAACGGTGCTTGATCTGTGCATATTTTTCTCCTGATTCAGATGACTTTTTCAATGAATAAAGCAATATTGTGGATAGAGGAATTGTATTGTAGCCCTGAAGCACTGGTTTGAGGTTAAAAACTCTTGTATCTTGATGGGTTTGTTTATTACACAGCAACAGGCCTTCGTTCATTTTGTGTTTTGCATTTAAATACAGTCATTAAGTTACACCAACAGTGCTTTTTTTTGGCTGCCATTTATTTATTTAAAAAATATTTTTTCATTATATAATTGGAAAGGTATGTTTAATGCATTTATCTGAATTTGTGTGTGAGTTACACAGACACATGATTTCCATAATCATTAATTTACAACCTCGGATTTATTTCTTTTCTTGCCTTTCTCAGCCACTGTTTATTTATTCATTCATTATTTATTTATTTTGCATCTGTGTGGGTTTATGAGAGTGTGTGTGGGATTTGTGTACACTTGTGCGTATTACAGAGGCACTACACAGGCGGCAGTGTTTTTTAGAGCTGATAAATATGTTGGTACTTTCTTCAGAAGCATGCAGTGACTTAAATTTCCAAACAACAGACCATAAATCTGATGAGAGGGCTTATTGCGCTATCAACACTTATGTTAACGATTATAAATCGAGCACTCAGCCTAAACTTATTCTGATATGAAGTGATATGATATGATAATCAACTTGAAAAGGAAAGAATGGAATCTGAAAGAGTGATTTCTTCACATTATATAGTATATCTATATCAGTGCATCACATTTCGAGCCTCATTAACTGTGAAGGAAAAAAAATACTCTGTTAGACAAGGGTATAATGAAATGTTCCAGATTGAGGACAAACGTTCCTCTTTAATGTCTATGGGGGCTATGGCTCTGCTTATGATATTTCAGGCTGATGTTTGATATATAGATTTAAGTTTATGTGCCGGATGATGCTGCATGAGTTTATAATACTTATTTATGTATAGATAGATAGATAGATAATTTACCTTATATAAAGGTATATGAAGATATAAATATTTAATTACTCATATCTGAATTAAAGATTTGCCATTGCCTAATAGCAACATTATGCATTCAAATTGAATGATTTTTACCTAATTAGCCAATAGCTTTAAATAAATAACAAAGATGTCTGAAATGTAGCAACTCGTGGAACTATTGAAGAATAACCCAATGAATTACAATTAATATTCAATTATATAAAATAATAACACTATAACAAAATGCAATTTATAGCCTTCAATCTCTCACTGACAGACACAAAAAAACAACATAGCCTATGTCATAGATCGCTAATTTCCAGATACACAACAACATTATAAATGAACCCTTGTCTAACTAAATCTCACACATTTTTTTATGTCCTGAAAATGTTTTATTTTTTTACATAGGCTAGATAGGAGGATGGTGCTCATGTACGATAGTGATGTCACCTCGTAGCTCATTTTTAATTGGTTAAGCCGGTTTTTTTACAACTCACCCCGTGTTACACTCTCCTCGGTCTCCCCTACAGGTAGGTTTTTTTTTTGTAAGGGATTCCTTGAAAGTGCTACTGATGCTCCGGTCCCAAACTCTCTCCTCCCGGTGTGGTCTGGTCCCTCTCTCTCTTTCGGCGCATGCGCACACGGGCAGCGCTGTCCGACTTAAAAACAGCTGGGCTCTTACGTGCGTTCACACAGAGAAACGTGGGACTGCAAAGCAAAGGGAACACGGCAACGGATTTAGATAAGGATTATCGCTGTTACAGTGGTTTCACAGTTATGCAAAATAAGAAAATGCAAGAGGATTAGTGACACGCATCAAGTGGAGCAAAATAGCAAAACAGAGTGAGAAAGCGAGATGCGGCTCGCCTCAGAGATGAAAGAGATGCTCATGTTCATGAAGAGACATTGAACACAAGGAAATCCCAAGCTCTGAAATACATTTAATATGCTACAAGATTGTTGTTGTTCTTCACTGCCGTCGGGTATTTAGCGAAAGGTAAGATAATTTCTTATGATTTTACAAATTGTAAGTGCATAAAAAGCCCCCCCTCACAACAAAAGTATTGTTTTAATGTTTAGTCTAGTAGCCTATGATTTATAGCTGCAGTCTAAATACATTGGAAAGTTTACGTGAATTATATAATGCGTCACTTTTATACACCAGTATATCAGTTCGAGTCAAGGGGAGTTTTGTCAAAAATAATGCAAACAAGTGTTAATGACTGATGTGCAAGTGACTGAACCTGCTGTTTCTGCTTTGAGGATTTTCCTTTGTGCTTAAAACATGAACATTTTGCCTAAGTACATGTAGACTGTACTGCTTTATAGTCTAAAAAGTACAAGTAATGTTTTAGAATCAAAGAAATGGCTGTTTTAGTGTAATTGTTTAAAACCAAGCCCTCAGAAGTGATCAGAGTTGCACAAAAATAGAGCCAGTGAAGGTAGGCTACACTAAGGGGTCCATAGATAAAAAGTAAATAAATAAATAAAATGCATATATTTAAAATTATTTCATTTTTACAATCCATTATGCATTATAAAAAGTAATGATGTTTGTTGCAGTTATTAATGAATTATTTTCAAGTTAGAAAATCTAGCTTTGATTTGAGAATCTAAATGGGGGATTCTTGGGTCTGTAGATAGGTGAATAAACCTTTTTTAATTTTTAAGCAATATGCAATCATTATACAACATTGATTACCTTGTGTTTGTCTTTGTGATATGACAAAACATAATTGTAATATAAAATGTCTTTTTTTTTTTAAAGTTGTGTATATTATTATGTGCCCAGTGATAGGATTTGTCCATAAGAGCTGCGGTTATCTGATGAACTGCACTAACATGTGTCTTTTGAGTGCGCCCAGATGCCATAGATTTCATTAAGGTTTTCCTCCCTCATCCTTCATCATTATATCGTTTTTTTATGGTCATGAAAAAGGAATATATCCAGACTGCCTGTAAATGAGTCCGTCTTCAGCTTTCATGTCTCACAGGGTTAATCAAGATCATTTTGTCATGGTTGACCTTTCAGCAGCATATATTTACCGCCTATGGGGGCAAACCGCCTCATCTCCAAGAGAGGTATCTGTGCATAGAGTTGTGTATGAACACATAATCTTTCATGATTGCATTGCATCGGTGTGCTTGTACTGTATGTCATAGTGTCCCCTTTATTAGTTTTTATCCCTATTTAAAAAAAATATGGTAACTTGGTGCATGAAAATATGCTATCAAAATAATGGCACACCTTTACATGTTGGACAAAAAAGCGCTCAAAGATTCTTTTCAGCATATGATTACATTTCTGGCTACAAGGTCAAGTATCTGAACAATTTTTACAGCAAGACTAAGCTAACTGAAGCAGTCAGACAAAAAGTGATTATTCAGTCTTGAAGCAGGTCTCAATTAATGCAAATACCTTCCGATATAATATTATTTTTGACTGGTACCAGTGTTAATTTTGACAGCAAATTTTGATTTAGTTTCAGTCATAGTCTTTTGACTAAAATGCCATTTAGTTTTAGTCATATTTTTGTCTAGTTTTAGTAGACTAAATATTATACGATTTTAGTCGACTAAATCTACAGTAAATTTAGTCGGCTAAAATCTAATGGGTTTAGTTACAGTGGAATGCGTTTATTAAGCATTTTTCTAAAATTTCCAAACTCATTATATAGGTTTGATATTAAGGTTTTATCGTGATAGACACCGATTAAACTGCGGTGACACACAACATGCCTTTATGTTAAAATTAAATAAAACCACTTCTCATAAAGAATAAGAACATGGTCTTCTTTTTAATGAAATACCAATGGTTATATAGGCTAATTATGCATTCTTTATAGCATAATTAGTTTGTTTAATAGCTTGTTTACCATATTCTTCATTCTTTCAAGCAGACATTTATTTCTATAAATAAATTTAGATTAATCTTTAGGGCTACTAAAGTTTTTCAGTCAAGCAGCCCGTGATTTTCTGTCTTTCTGTTGTTGCTTGATTAACATCAATGACTCGGACAATAGCAACTAAATTAGGCTAATTAAAACCGAATGCACAGCTGCAATGGATGCAATGTACTGATACACGTTCTCCCTACTGTTTACGTTTACTTAAGACGTAATCAACTGTGTTTACGTGAATACTCGTCAAGACGGACAATTCAACATAATTTTGTGTGTAATTCTCCGTGTTAATGCGCGCTGTGAGACACGCTTTCTGTGTGTGTATGCTTCAGTGTCTGCTCTCAGAACACCGGACAGAATTGAGCTCTCTCTTGCGTCGTCAGATTTATCCATATGTCTGCTCTTCTCTTACTACTTTTTTGAACGTTTTATGCGACATGCAGCAAGTGTATGTTAGCTTATGTCCCGCCGGTTCATCTGTACGTATCTAACCTCCGAACCACACAGCTGATTCGTTCTGAATGAATCTCTTTCCAAATCGTCCCTCCCTAACATTTTCGTCTAGTTTTTATTTGTTGACGAAAATGTCAATAGATTTACGTCATAGTTTTTGTAATTTAAAAAGAGTTTTAGTTCGTTATCGTCTCATTGTCGTCGGTGAAAAAAATGTCCTTGACGAAAATTATCCGTCAACGAAATTAACACTGGTATAGACCACCCTTTTCCCTTAAGATTTCCAATGGATTGACCAACCAACCACTGGTGACTGCAGTTTCTTCAGCCTCGCTAAAACATATTCTAAATAATGAATGCATGGAGGGTGGCTTCTGGAATTTTTTTCTGGCCTTAGCACAGTTTGCCAGGGACAGTCTTATTTCCCTTCCGTCTCCTGTGGTCCCACAAGCCTGACGGAAACGTTCTGAATAGATTGAATGGGCTGTTTTTGCCATGGCTGTTAATATTTATTTGCATATTTTGAAAAGTCATTGAAGCTTGTTGTAATTTCAGTCTTGGGCAGTCAACTAACTTGTAGGGGGTTTGGAAGCCAGTTTAACCCTGATATTTTAAGGCTCTTCTTCATTGTCTGATCATCATTTGATAAATTACCGCTTCCATGATCAATAAAAGTGTATTTAATGCTTTTTTGAAACAATAATTGCACTAGATGTAAAGCACTGAGTATTGTAAATAATAAACAATTGATAATAAGCCCAATTTACATAGAAAAGATCGACAGTAATTCAAGTTGAACTGGACTAAGGGTGTTTAGTGATTAAGACGCGGATTATTGCTCTAAAAATGGGAAATTTCTGCCAAAAAAAGGAAAATTGTGTCATCATTTACTCACCATTATATCATTCCAAAGTTTTTTTTTCTGCAAAACAGAAAGAATATATTTTAAAGAATGTTGGCTACAGTCAATCGGTTTTGGTGTCCATTGATTTCCGAAGTATGGACAAAAAAAAAAACACTGACATTTCTCAAAATATCTTCTTTTGTGTTCCTGCAACCCATTTAAGGGCTTATACTACCTTTACTGTTGGATAAGGACCTAACAATAGCAGGATAAAGAATAGTAATAATGCAGCTTGTAAAATTTCATTGTACAGAACCAGACAGTCTGCACAGATGAAAGACTTCACAGTCGATTCGTGATGAGAAACCACTACATTTACTTTCTGCAGCAGCTGAAAAAAATGAAGACATTACACTGGAGAAAGAAAGGACTACATTTCTTGGAATGCAGTGTCATCCTCTGCAGCTGATGGTGATGAGTTCCTGCAAAATACATGGAAATAATGCTGCAGTCTTGCCAGTTTGTGTCAGCGAGCACTGCTGTATATGCATGCGTGTGAGTTGTGGTTTGCCAGGACTTGCTTCAGTCTCCCAGAAGAGGCCACAGAATGATCACACTTACTTGTCTGTGGTCTGTGGGTGTTAAAGCACTCTGTTGTCAGTACTTCGGCTACACTGCTTCGTGCACGCATCCGTTGTAGTTTAGTGGTCAATAAACCGGTGTCCAGGGGCCAGCAGTCGCCATCTTTTCAGCCAGCATTTATTGAGCGAATTTTAGTTATAGTGCCTTGTTTATGGCCAGGCTGTAAATCTGCAAATGTAAATGTGCCTCAAGCAACACAAAGCATAAATAATCAAAGACAGACTATTCCTAACTAAATTTGAATGCATCGTGTAATTTATCTCCTTTCCTCTCTTGCTGCTGTAAGTGTCTAGTAAGTACTGGATGTGAACCAGTGAAATGGATAACGTTTGAAATGTATCCGCAAAAATAACGTTATACGGACTCCATGTGTGTGTGTCGTTGCAAAAACCAAAAGCCCAGTTGGCTCAAAAGCAAAATCGGACCAAATTAGAACAAATAAACAGTTCGGTTTATATGGAGCTTTTGGACACTGCAGTGAAATCAATCCCTGCAGTGGATGATCAATAGTTTGAATAGGCTGTGAATAAAGTGATTGACAATCACCTGTGGTTCAGCTCACAGCTGGAGGTTCCTCTTTTTTCAGAGGATTTGGATTAAGCATTACGCATGATTTTTCAATAATTTAAATTGAGCGTTTCAAATCAGATGGACACATCTTCTCCAAAACGTAGGCAGACTTATTCATTTGATTTGAAATGAACTCTACTAAATAACATGTTGCATATGTTTGGTTTATTTTCCTTTCCTTTAAGCTAATATTATGCAAGATAAGATGCAATTTTGATAAGTGAACTCTTAATTAGTTTTCACGACCGCTCTTGGAACCTTTGCATACACTATTTTGAATTCGCTGATAGGCTGCCAATCAGTGAACAGCTGGAAATGTCTCTTTAAATTTCTTTGATTAGATTATTCAGCCAGGGGTGTGATGCTGAGCAAGATTATTACCAAGAACATATGACAGAATATATGAAACATACTGCTACAAACTAATTTGGAGATTTCATTCACACTACAGTATATACTTGAATTAATGAATCTAAATTCTAAATAGCATCTAAATTAAATGAATCATTCAAGACAAAATATTATTTAACATCACTGAATCAACTTAAATACATTAGGTTACACTAGCAAAACTAAATGTAAGGGTTAGAAACAGCTCCTCGTGGTAACAATTGCATGTGACCACTTTTTGCAGTGCATAAGGAATGAGAAGCTTAATATAAAATGCGTTCCCTTCCTCATTTCTTGGATTTGGCCTTGAAAATATATATTAAAGGGGGACAGATTGGGGTCAGTGCGGGCCAGGGGAACAGCGGGCCAACTGTCATGTGTCTACCGCCCCACTGTGACGCTTTTTAGAAGCGAAATTATGACTGTGGAAACCTTCTTCGCTTAAACATTTCTTACTGAAATGCTTCATTCAGAGATACTAAAGAGGAGCACATAACAGTCAGATGGTCAGAGATGGTGGCAAGAGAGCTTTCCAGGCAGCATCTGAGCTCCAGGGTCAATCCCATCAGCCTCTGGGATGGAACTGTTGCTGCCCTGTTGTAAGTGAGATGATAACATGCTGGGAAAGCAGATGAAGACAAATGAGTGCACCAGTCTGGACCTACAGCACCCGCTCGCTGCTGTCCGTGTCCACCGACAGCCATGAAGACTCAGCGTTATGCTATTACAACACAAGAGTTTTGCAGCATATGCCACAAGAGCAACAGCAAAATAGACTAATAAATAATACATCAAATAAAGGCAAATAACATTTGCTTTCGAACTTAATGCTCTTTGAAATGCACCGTGGATTCGTCAGACTTCCCTGAATGGAAAATGGAAATGACCTTGGCTCTGCATTATTATTCATAAATGCATTTGTTTCTGTGTGAAATGCAATACCATTTACCAGCAAGCACACAACAGAGCGAAAGGGAAGACAACATAAGATGAATTATGTGTCCAACGCATCTCACTGCTATAACATTCATTAACGGACCATCCTTATAATTAATCGAGCCGCCTCCCTTTGGCTCCATTAATTACAGTTATTTAAAGTGAATAATAGTCTTTAAAAAAAAGCTCAGGACTACTGCCAAATTCTCCGGTTGACCAATATGACAAGAAACTCATCTCTCATAAATACACCGTGGCCTCATTTCTGGTTCATTTTTCAATTTTCAACTGAATAAATATATAGTGGAAAATCCTAGTTGAGTATTCAAAGCAGTGAAGGCATAGTGCCTGTACAAGCTGATTTCATAGAACAGGTATTTTCATTTTAATTTGAGTAACAATTTTAAAAAATACGCAAACACAAACTCAAAAAATAAATGAAATAAATACTCTACTCTGTTAGAAAAAATAGCTAGTTAGTTGTACCTAGATTTTATTCATGCTACAAAATGAAATATGTATTTGCTCGCTACAGAGATGAAAGATGAACAGAAATAATAATTTATTTCAGTAGGATTTGACATCAAGTGCCCACTAAGGGCTCATATAAATATACAAAATCTTCCGTAAGGCAAAAACACAAAGCCCCTACATATGTGTTGCTTAACCTCTTTCGATATGTATGTATTTATATATACAATAACTCATCTAGGGTGTATACATTTATACTTTGGTTGTCAATCAGATCAATTTTTTAATGGAACTGATTGCATAATTTTAAATAATTTGCGAAAGCTCCATATCAATATTTGCTGAGAAGAAAATTAATAGATGTTTTTAAAAAAGGATTATTTAAGAGACATTATCAAAATACAAAAGTCAAGTTGTTTTTTAGTATCTCACGCCATGAGCGTCACATTTTTAGGATGGCGTGCCTAGACAAAAACTGTCAGCTCTCTGTAAATCTGCTTCATATACATGTAAGTAGCTTTTCATATTTGTATATATTATTCATGAATTATGTATACATGGGGAAAAACGGTTTATGAGAACATGATGTTGCAAATGATTAAAATGAAAAACAGATTCATTCAGATGAATATGACATGTTAAAGGATCAATTTAAAAAGAAAATTAGACTTTGCAGTACTAGAACTTTCTGATTTTGAAAATAAGATAAATAAAGGTATAGAATGGCAGATGCAGTGGGTGTTAATTTGATTTCTGTCAACTATGCATGCATCCTCTGTCTTGTAAAGGATATATTTGTTAGAAGCTGCTCCATGTACTCGCAGAGGGGGGAAAAACTACCAGACGCCAGTCACTCACTGTTCATAGCTAGAAGAATAATGAGCCCTCAGGCTGATTGACATTCTCAGCCGCCTCGTAGTTATGGTTTCCTCTGGTGCTGGCGAGGACACCCGCCCCTGCATCTCAAGCGTTTATGCAAATCTAGGCCTTTTGCCAGCACTAGGCCTAAAAAGAAGGGGTTTGGGGCTCAAAAGGGGTTCAGTGAGTAAAGCTGTGCTTGTATGGAAAGCTGCAACTGGCCCAGTTATCTCTAATAAAAATCGGACTCAGAATCAGAATAATGACATTTTTACCCAGAGTCTGAAGCTGTAAAATGAGATTGAAAATGAATACTTGAAAATAGAATGTATTATTGTGAATCGCAACAAAAAGTATATATTTTATATACAGCCGGCAGCCATATCACCCTGTAACCCAAGACGGGTTGCCCACTGAAGCTAAGCAGGGCTGAGCCTGGTCAGTACCTGGATGGGAGACCTCCTGGGAAAACTAGGTTGCTGCTGGAAGAGGTGTTAGTGAGGCCAGCAGGGGGTGCTCACCCTGTGGTCTGTGTGGGTCCTAACGCCCCAGTATAGTGATGGGGAATATTGTCAACAAGCACCGTCCTTCGGATGAGACGTTAAACCGAGGTCCTGACTCTCTGTGGTCATTAAAAATCCCAGGATGTTTTTCGAAAAGAATAGAGGTGTGACTTCTGCATCCTGGCCAAATTTGCCCAATCCCCATATCTGCTGATTGGCTTCATCACTCTGTCTCCTCTCCACCAATGAACTGGTGTGTGGTGGGCGTTCTGGCGCACTATGGCTGCCGTCGCATCATCCAGGTGGATGCTGCACACTGGTGGTGGATGAGGAGATACCCCCTGACAATGTAAAGCGCTTTGAGTGCCTAGAAAAGCGCTATATAAATGTAATGAATTATTATTTAATGAGAAAAAAATGTAGAGCGGTACTTTTATCCATCGGGAATTGCTTACATCATAAACTGGGCATTCTGTAATATGAGTTTGATAAAACAATGCTATAGCTATTTGGCAATTGGGTCATATCTAATAACCTGTGTGGCCTAAGGGGTCAGTGGAAAAAGAAATCCATTTCAGAAGAAAAACTAAATGTATTTTCATTACAAAAACATTTTCCCCCTTTAGATTATTGTGTAAGAACAGACACCTGCGTTAAGAAAGTAAATAGGATCAATTTGACTTTAAGACCAGCTTGATTAACATTGGTTAGATATTCTGTTTTTATTCTCCTTTAAGTCTTACACATTAAACCAAATCCACATTCATATTAATGTGTGGTGTGGTGATTATGCGTTTAATGCATAATCAGTATATGGCTCAGCCTGTGTTTTCATCTTCTGTGGGCCCAGATATATTCAAGATGAAATAGACTGGGAGAATATATGGGGCACACAGTGGGCTCTGTAGAGCTAGACTTGCTTGATTGGCAAGAATGAATGGAAGCGAGGGACAGCCCACCCCTGAGTTAGTTAGACTTGTTAAAAGGTTTGTTTTTGCCACACAAAAGGATTCTCAGTGGAGCTGAAATAATGGGCTGAAAGTTTCAAGAATGTCTAAAGTGAATAGAAGGAAAAAGTGCTGCAAGTTATAGAAACGATTTGGCTCAGATTAGCAGTACTCAACCAGATTTCATTTCAGTCAGCCAGCTAACAAACATGTTACATGATTTAAAAAAAAGAAAGAAAGGAAAAGAAGAAACATTAGAAACATGAATGTGCATTTGAGAATGTTGAAATGAAAATCAGTTATTAAAAGATTTTAATGTTTTTGAAAATAGTATTTTATTCTCACTAAGGCTGCATTTATTTGATAAAAAAAGGTAAAAACAAAATAAATTATTTTATAAAAATAATATATCAACTGTTTACGTTATGTAACTGTTTTATATTTTAATATTTTTAAAATGTAATTTATTTCTTTGATGGCAAAGATGAATTTTTAGCAGTCATTACTCCAGTCTTCAGTGTCTTTCAGAAATCATTTATATATCGTGATTATTATCAATGTTGATAATAGTTGTGCTGCTTAAATTTTTTGTGGAAAATATGATAAATTAGTTTTTTCAGCATTCGTTGGTTATTAGAAATTCAAAAGAACAGCATTTATTTGAAATAGAAATGTTTTGTAGGAATATAAATCTTTTACATTGTAATCATTATAACCTTTGGTCCAAAAAAAAAACTGACCCCAAACTTTTGACAGTAATGCACAATATTATATTACAAAAAAAAGCAAAGAAATTGCTTTTGTAGCCAAAATGCTGCTCCTCTGAAACAATTTTCCCATAGACTTAACGCACACAGACTTTTAAAAATCTCTACTGGTTTCCACTTTCTTTTTGAACTGTCAGACCCCTACCCCGAGCCCTCCCATAGCTTGCACCTCGATTAGGAGACTGTAGTGTTCCCTCTTAGACTTTTCACATCTGCCGTGTACTCATAAAGACAGACAGGAGCACAAACAGATAATGCTTCTCCAGCCAGCAAGGCCTGCTCTCCTCTCTTAATGGAGACATACTACCAGAATAACTGCCACACACTCTCTCTATATTTCTTTCTTGTCTCTAGCACTCCGGTCTATCCCTGAGAATAAAAAAGTGAAAGATGTGCTTCTAACTGCTTTCTATTTTCCCACCAGGTTCCCTGAAGTCTTTGAGCCGTAAGAGCTCCGAGTACATTCTGCCACAAGTACTTCTGTCATCGAGGGGATGTAACGCCACTGTCGAGTTTTCACTTAATCCTCTCACAGGTAAACGGCGGGACATTTTGCCGGAGGAATTTTGCGCTCAAAGAGTTTTTAAACAGAATGTGAATAAGGTATCACTGGTAGAGCTTGCTAGAGAATGAAGCATCTGGAATAGGTCTCTGCCTTTTTTTTGTTGGAACAATGGCAGCATGAAATCGTAGACTCCAGGTTTTTTTCACTTACCTGGAAGGAGGGCAAGATGGCAAAGCCCTTCTACAGGCTTCAGCGCTTCTTGCGACGGACTCAGCTGCTCTTCTTGTTTCTTGGTGTCGCATACATTATGGCTGGAAGTGTCCTCCTTCTGCAGAGACATGGATTGGTGGTGTCACAGCGTGGGACGAGCAGTTACTTTCCATTGCCGTCTTTGCCATCTCCTCCCAGGGCCCTGGAGGCACCTGCCCTCCGGACAAGTTATGGAATAATGGGAGCTCGGCTCTCCGGAAAGGGGGTGCGATACCAAAGCGTTTTATCCGAAGACAACGCTGGACCACAATGGCTGATCTCACGAAACCAGGAGATCCGATATCTGAGACGTCGCTGGTTCCACAGCCTCATGTCCGAACAGGAAGCATCCAGAGTGGAGAAAGTTCTTCCGAAAAGAAAAATCCGACACAAAGGTGAAGCTCGGTGCTAAATGAGCTGTGAGCTTTTGAGAATGACAAATTGGTTGTTTATGATAATTGGTTTATTTTCTCAATTATCTGGATTCCAAGCTGTGCTGCGGAATCTTCCCATCTGCAGAAAAAGGTCACGTTCTGAATTTTTAATGCGATTGTTATTCTCTGCTCAGGCACGTACATTGGCTGCTTTCTGGATGACGCCAAAGACCGGGCGCTCAAAGGGATGGTGTTTTATGACTTCCGGAAAATGACCAACACCTTGTGTCAGGACACCTGCACGGAAAGGTATGTGATTAATACAGAGTATACTCAAATACTCACAGCTTTTGTTTTAATCACGGAGCCACCAAAAGCAGATGGACATCTGTTGCCTTGAGGCTCCTCTGTGCTCATCTTAAATCAAGAAATAATGAAACAGTGTTTAGGGAAAATAACATGCAATGTGCATCCCTGTGCCAGCTGGCCGAGCTCATGCTGGGAATTGGATCAGGCCCAATTAATGGAGCGCAGCTCTGGACCTGGACTCCGCTAATGTTGGAGGAGAAACATCTATCTGCCATGATGGAGTATACACTTTTTCAAGTTCTTAGGCCGGCGGATAATTGACCACCAGAGAACAAGTGTGAGGCGGACTGACCTCCTGTAATTACCCCCAACGTTTCAGAGCTTATTTAATTACTTGGGTGACATTTGCAATGTTCAGGGGGAATCTAAATAGTCCATTAGAAAACATGAAACCTAACATGTGCTAAAGATGATCTTTTATTCACGCTGACATAGTCACGTCCTATGAAGAAGAAAATCATATAATTAACAGTGTTGACAACTTTAAGGCAATATTATGTTCTTGCTTTACAGCTAGAGAGATGGTCTGTATAAACTGTACAAAGATCAAACAAACAAACTTGAAAATTCATTTTTTTGTTATTTCAAATGACCAGTGCAAGTAGGTAAAGAAAATGTTCTGAAAATATTGATCATCAGCCGCGGAATCAGTATCATTTAATATTTCAAATAAAATTTTGCCATTAAGACATTTGCCATTCTGTTACAATGCGTTAAATTAAATACTTAATGACAAAATGGTGTAATTTTATAATTTAGAAAACATTGAAAATAATCAAATTAAACAGAAAAGGAAAAAGAAAATAATTCAGAATGGATAACAGAGTTGCAAAGCCTAAATAAATCTCAAGACCAAAGACCAGAAATGCCATTTTAAGTGGCATATAGACATTTGACAAGCTACTTTTCATGCTAGGTTAATTTCATATTAGATACCATTTAAAACTTCAGGGTCAGTAAGATTTTTTTTTTTAAGAAATCTCTTATGCGTACTAAGGGTGCATTTATTTGAATAAAAATCTGTAATATTATGAAATTGTATTACAATTTTAAACATCTGTTTTCTATTTGAATATATTTTGAAATGTTATTTATTTCTGTGATGGCAAAGCTAAATTTTCAGCAGCCATTTCTTCAATCTTCAATATGACATGATTCTTCAGAAACCATTCGAATATGAAGATTTGCTGCTCTAGAAACATTTATCATTATGGTCAATGCTGAAAACAGTTATGCTGCTTAATATTTGTGATAAATAGAAAGTTTTAAAGTTTTTTAACATAGAAGTCTTTACTGCCACTTTTGATTTGTCATATTTGGTTTTCAATTTTAAAAAAAATCTTACTTTTAAGATTAGTATAGTATCAGAAGTATAGTTTATCAAATATCTAAAAGTAAACACCTCAAAAACATGGGATCAGCCTCTAATGCTGATAAAAAATAAGTAACAGAACCTCACATTTATAGAACATATTTATATCTAAGAAAACGTTTTCGTTAATACTCTGTGACTGCTCAGACTGAAAAGGATCTGACATCCCAGCCCAGTGTTATCATCTACAGATAGGTGACAGGGAAAAAATCTTCTCCTGTTCTGTGTCTGCAGGTACATGCCCAAACTGAGCGATTAATTCAGAGTGCAGATTTAACAGTGGGAATGTCCCTGGCTGGGTTTCCATGGCAGTGCCAATGCCACGTTTCAAGCTGAGGATCAGAGAAACAATTTGCAGAGGGGCTCAAGCTAATACCTGTTGAGCCCTACACCAACATGCTTGAATGGAATCGTGCTGCGCCTTTTTGCAATCTTCAAAAAAAGTCAAGAGGGCCAGAGGACAAAAGCTTTGAGATGGAGGAAGATCGTTGTGATTAACCGTTAACCAATTTGCTGTCAATGTCACAGAACCAGAACCAGTCTGTACAGGTCCCAATTTATTGGAAAAGATGAGATAGAGGTGAATGCAGGAGCCTCCTGGACAGGCTCGTTACTGTGAGATAGCTGGCCAGGTGGTTCACAATGGCACCCTGAGAACGGCTGCCACTACAAAGTGGCATAGGCTAGCGCCGCAGGGTGTGGAAATGGTGAGACAGATGTTTAGCTCAGCAAGCGGGCCAATCACCAGCTGTTAACCCCTTGAGCTCACAACCAGATATGAACAAGGAGATGGTGGTGGACTTTAGCAGAATCCCTACTGGGTCTGTCTTTTAAAGAGTGTAAAAAGTATAAGGGCTTTTCTGGGAGAACCAAAGAATGCACTGACATGCAGTTCACCCAAAAATGAAAATTTGCTGAAAATTTACTGACAATCCAAGATGCAGAGGAGTTGTTTTTTCATTAGAACAGATTTGAAGAAACTTTGCATTACTTGCTCACCAATGGATCCTCTGCAGTGAATGGGTGCCGTCAGAATGAGACTTCAAATATCTGATTAAAAATCACAGTAATCCACACGACTCGAGTACATCAGTTAACGTCTTGTGAAACGATAATTGTATAAACAAATTCATCAAGATTTTTTTAACCTCAAACCGTTGCCAAGTCCTCTATCCATAATATTGCTTTCTCCAGTGAATAAGTTGTCCCATCTTATTTAGGAGAGAAATATGCACAGATCAAGCACCATTTACAAGTGACAGTCCAAAATAGTTTTAAACACATATTTCGGTGGACAACAGGGGATGGACTTTTTTTCATAGTCTGGCCATGGAGATTTGATGTTGCCAAAATATTGACTGTTTTCGAAATGGTTGCCCAAACACTTACCCTGTTTACCATTGGCTGTCCAAACAGACAGCCCCGCCCACAGCTGATGCCATTGGTTGAGTCAGTGTTGCTGAGTCAAGGTGGTTGGGATGCTGAAACAAGGGAAAAAATTAACCTAGTAATGGCTTTTTAAAAAAGTTTTTTTTTTTTTAGACAAAATTCCACGCCTTTAAAATTCAAAACTCTGTTATTATATTAGACCTATGTTAGAATACTGTAAAAAGAAACCATTACATAATTTGAAAACATTAGTTAACATTTGCATGAATATTTATTTTATAATGACAAATGTAATATTGTTTTGTATTAAGAAATTAAAGAGTTTTTGCTGTAAATATTCATGTTATTCATGAATGGCCGGTATTTTGTGAGAATAATTAGATTTCGAATGTTTTGTTTCACACAGCGGGTACCAGTTCGCTGGCCTTGAATATGGGTCCGAGTGTTACTGTGGAAACCGCATCACAAGCGCTCGGATGAAAGAGGAGGGGTGTAACTTGGACTGCAAAGGCGAGAAGGGCGCCATCTGTGGAGGTGTGTCCCGTCTGTCCGTTTACAAGGTGGAGGAGGTTCATTCTGGCCAGCGGAGATGTGAGTGCTTGAAATAAGTTTACCTTTTTGCAGGGCAGACCTTCTCACCCATTCATGCATGGCATTAGTAATGCATTGGGAAGCATACAAAACAGCATTCTGAAAGAGAATAAAATATTAGTCATATAAACATGCAAAAATGCAAATGCAAGTCTTAAAAACTAATATACTGCTTTCTGGCACAGATAAGCTGTAACTCACCTCTGCGGTTAACATGCACAAAAACGCAGCTTAACTAGTAGAGCACAATGCTGACAATGAAGGTCAAGAAATAAAAAAAGGTTAAAAAAGTGTGGATTTTGGATGAAAGCAACTGTCAAATGAATAAATGTAATTAAGAACACACATATCAGGAATTGATTTGCCTTTTAAAAAGGAAAATTATTGGTACATCTAAATGCTGAATAAAAATCATGGTTTCTGTAAGTTTCTAGCAATAATATAAAGCAATAAAATGTTAAAGTAATACTTCATGAATAAAAGAAAAACTTTTAAATAATGCTTTGGCTAAAAGCATCTATCAAATGAATAAAAGTGAATATGAATGCATTATCTGCACTTTTTTTCCAGCCCTGTTACAAAATTTGGGACATATATAGTTTACCATCTTGATTTCTGTGACTTTGTAATTTTTTAGAAATAAAATAAAATAATCAAGTAAAAAAACAATTAAGTAATAAAATAAAATAAAATCCTGGTTTCTGTATTTTTCTAGCTATAAAATAAAAATAAAAAAAATGTTAAAATAGTTCTCCATGAATGAATAAAAAGTGTTTATAATGCTTTTTTATAAAAAAGCATCTACCAGAGGAATGAATGTAAATATGAAAGCATTATATGCAGTTTTTGCAGCTCTATTGCAAAATGTGTGATATATCTAAATACAGCTCAAAATCTTGATTTCTGGGACTTTGCAATTAAAAACAAAACAAAACAAATAAAATACAAATTTAATTAAAATAAAACTAAATTAAAAAATCTTCATGAATAAAAAAATAAAAAAAAGTTTGTAATACTTTTATACTGGATAAAAGCAGTGCTGCTTCTGCAGGTAACCCACTGTCTGGCAGTGGAGCTTTGATGTGGCCATATGTTTGAAACGGGTTTCTTCATCAGTCTCTTCCACATGCTGTTGGACCTTTGTGTTCTGACCCAATGTCCCTCTGCAGTTTCAGGCCAACTGGATTCGGCCCAGCACAACACTCACAGACAGCTATTAAGCATTGACCATATGTTTTGTAGCCTAAATTGAAAATGCTATCCATTAAGAGGGATTTGTGCATTGTTTGGGCTGTTGCTTTTAAGATGTTCATGTAATGCAACAGAAAAGCCATAAAGAGGTCTCTAAATGATTGTTTTAATTGTTATGCTAACATATGCTAAAAACTGTAAATGTGAAGGGGACACTGGGGGCAGTTGTAATGCTTTACATTTTTTAATGAGTGACACTCTTTAATGAGTTGTGACAGTAAAGTTCCCTCTCAGCCTGAGAAAAAAGGAGTCTGATCATTTTACCTTTTCTAAAAATAAAAATTGTGTGGTTTAATTAGGAAAACAGAATCTACTCAGACTCATCAATATATTTTAATGAAAACGGATTGAATTTACATTACTGTTCAAAAGTTTGGGGTAGGAAAATATATTTTGAAGTCTCTTGCTCACCAAGGCTGCATTTATATGATCAAAAATACAGCGAAAACAGTAATATTGTAAAATATTACTGCAATTTAAAATATTTTAAAATTTAATTTATTCCTGTGATGGCAACGTTGAATTTTCAGTGTTGAAAACAGTTGTGTGGAAACTGTGGTACAGTAAATATTCAAATTAGAAATGTTTTGTAACATGTCTTACTGTCTCATTTGATCATCTTAATGTGTCCTAAAAGTATTAATTTCTTTTTTTTAAATGGTAGTTTTGAATGGTTGTGTGTCATTTAATTGTACAATAGGTCTCACAAATAAAAGCAAAACTGTTCAGTATGAAAGCAATTATGTTATTACTTAAAGGTGTGTATGAACATTTAAAAATTCTTACAATTGCCTCATTCTCTCCTACACTTTAAGGGCCTTTTTTGTTTTTTTTGTATTTTTATATATGCATAACCTTTATATAATTTTACATACATACTCCTCCAAATTATTAAAGAATTTTTATTTTTTTTAATTATTGACTACAAATCTAAGAGCGGTCTACAGCCTATAATACATAGCTTATTTTTGTGCGAAAATATTCTGTGCACAACATTCTGCAAGAATCGCTTTTCCACACCTGTGTCGGTGACCATGGTCTGACTTGTTTTGTTATAGTTGAACAGTCTACCGCCGGTCTTAGTAAAAAGTTCAGAGGCTCACCCGAGGCCTGTGGTGCTCTTCGTTTTAATAGTGCTTTGTTTGATGTTTTCATGCAGCTGTGTCTCATTTATGGCCCTCACAAAGAATCATGTAATTGCTTCAAAAGCAAACGGCGGTCTGCAGGGCCTCTTCATTTATTTGGAGAGGCAAACAAAAGCCCCGGGGTTTCGGTTACAGAGTGCTTGTTTACCCTGCAGAGGTGACAAAGTGTCATGAAGGCCCTGAGCACACTCGCTAATGCAGATACAAACGCCTTAAATCACAGTATCCACTCACATCCGGTGTTTGTCCATGAGGTGAATCTGTTTCTGGGCTTGTTCGCTGTAGGCTCAGTTATGTCGAGTCAATTCTAGTTGGACATTAGCTGTGGAAACCTTTATATACAAAATGCACATTTATTATAGTTATATAATGATGCAGGGATGTATTGTTTGATTTAGGCAGGGTTCTTCTAGTTAACTAAAACTGTAACTAAAACCATAAAAAATTGTAAAATAAAATAAATGTTAACTGAAACAAAACTTGATGTACTAAAATTAAAACTGAAATAGTAACTGGAATGAAAACGGGAAAATATAAAGATACAATTTCAAAATGCTATTCATTTTTCAGAGAATCCTGAAAAAAAAGTATCACGATTTCCACAAAATTATTAAGCAGCACATCTGTTTTCAACATTGATCATAAGAAATGTTCCTTGAGCAGTAAATTCGAATGATTTCTGAATGGCAGCTGAAAATTCAGCTTTGCCATCACAGGAATGAATTGCATTTTAAAAATATATTCAAATAGAAAACATTTATTTTTAAATTGTAATAATATTTCACAGTATTACTGTTTTCTGATCAAATAAATGAAGCCTTGGTGAGTGTAAAAGACGTATTTTAAAAACATCCAAAAATCTTTTGAATGGTAGTGTACAGTATATCAAATAAACATATTATTATTAATATTAACATGTTGTGTACATTTGCTATCATGGGAAGCTCAAAATCAAAATGTCAGTTTAAAGCATAGCGATGAGTTTCATCAAATTCATTCCTTTCCTTACATTCAAAAGCACCTGCTAAAAGAAACATGCAGCTGTGCCTGAGAAGGGTTTGGAAAAAGCTGAAGCAACTCGAAAAAAATGATAAAATTATTCATATTAGATAGCGCAGTTTCCTATTTCTGTGAAATGTGGCTTCTTTGCAGTTCACCCATTACCCATACAGCCTGATTCCTTGAACTGTTTGATATTTCTTTGAAGGTCTATGAGTTTTTTTCTTCTTCTACTTAATTACACATTCACTGCAGTATTCCAAACCTTAGAGCAATTAACTGAGTGTTGGCACAAAATCTTGTTCCTACACTATTTTTCTCCATTCTCCTCTGCCTTCAGACAGGAACGTGCGCTACCGGGGCTGCTTCAAAAAACCTGACAACTCAACAGCAGCTTCCCTGGCTCATGCCATCCAGCCCAACCTCACCTCCCAGTGGTGCATCCAGAACTGCATGGATCAGGTCTGACTTTCCTGACTGCATCAACACTAGATTAATGTGGATTGGATATGGTCTGCTGTAGTCCTGATATATTTTCCCACTCTTCTGAACACAATCTGCTTGTTTAAACTTTAATGTGTCCCCAGAGAGCACAAATTTGCTCTGTAATCAATCTTCTACACAGCATTATCTCTTTGATTGTGGTATAATTTGAGCCCTTTCTATCAGATGGTCATGCTTTGTTGCACTCTGGCAACATGGTCGATTGATTCATCCTCGTTTTTAGCTGAGAAGCTAATTGCACTGCTTGAGAACGTTTTTAGATAATGATAACTCAAAATAGGTGTAATTTGAAGTATGGATTGAGACGTAGAGGTGGGCTCTTGGTGTCATTCATACACATATTTACTCTCTCTTATCAGGAGTTTCCTCTGGCCCTGGTCAGGAAGCCCGACTGTTTCTGTGGCTACGCCACTCCTCGCTTCACTCTTCACGAGCCGGTGAAAGAAGAGCTCTGTGCTGTGGAAAACAGCAGTCTGCCTACCCAGGGTTCCCGTCAGCTCTTCCTCCAGGTTTATCAGACACCTGTTCAAGGTAAGACTCTGTGGAAACCTCACTGATCTTAATAATTACCTCTGTGCTCACATTTCCCCACACGGGCAGTTTATCTTTCTCACATAGAGCTCAGCCTCGAGATGTATGCTAGAATTAAACAGGGTGCCTGCTCATTCAATTTCAAGATTTTTCTTTGGGAAGTTATGAAAGAATGTAAAAGTGAATAATACCTTTTTAGGTATGCCTGGCAATGCTAAACTTTCCAACAACACATAATAGCCTAAGGGTACCCGCAAATCTATAAAGTACCCATATATCTGAGACTGCTTGAAAAATAATAAGCATGACTGAAAGTAAATATCTTCAACAGCTTGTGTCTTTGTGGGTGGATTTGGTAGCTAACTAGTTAGGATTTCTACTGAGGGCTTTTGTCATATAATTTGTGAGGGGAATGAATAAATGAGTGAATAAATACATTACAGTAAATACAGAAATATTGTGAAATATTATTAGTTTAAAATAACTTGTAATAGATTTTTAAATGTAATTTATTCATGAGATGGCAAAGATAAATTTTTAGTCTTCAATATTACATGATCCTTCAGAAATCATTCTTATATGCTGATTTGGTGCTCAAGAAATATGCCTTATTATTATAAATATTGAAAACAGTTTTGATGCTTAATATTTTTGTATTTTATAAATAAATATATACAGCACATATTACATTTTTCAGGATCCTTTGATAAATATGAAGTACACAACATCTATTCAAAATACAAATCTTTTTATAACATTGTAAATGTCTTTACTGTCCTTTTTGATCAATAAATGCATCCTTGCTGAATAGAAGTATTAATTTCTTTCTTTCCAAAAAAATGTTACTGACATCAAGCTTTTAAACAGTATGATATGTATTGTAACTGAAGGAACAGTTACCCCGTTTAATCTTAATAGATATAAACAGTCATAATTTAATGAACTAAATTTATCAAATGTTTTCTCTCTCAAATACCACCTGCCATCTACTAGCATGGTTTTATGCTAATTGGTTTTATCAAGCTGTCATTCCCCCGACTTCCTGTTGCAATAGGAGATATGTTAACACAAGAAAATTGTTAACAATTGTTGTTAAAAATAAACTTCAGCCATTCTCACCTAACACTGGGATGCTCCGAAAGGCTATGCAGAGCTGTAGGTGATACACACAACCAAAAATCAATCAGTCAATCAATCAATAAAAAAAACACAGCACTTTTACAAAAAAAAAAAAAAAACATAGTTTATGTAGTTCTTAAAATAAATGTATTTCTATATTTTTATTAGATAACCCTTTGAGGAATTATTTTATGTGATTTTTTTTAATAAACAGATGCAATATAACTACCTGGCTGAAAATAACAGGTTGTTATATGTTATCTTACCTTCTATAAGTGGCAAATAAATATTGAAAATTTCTTATTGTCCAGATTCCAGATGCACAGAGAAGAAGTTTCTACCTGAGAAGTCCAGCTCACTGGTGGCTCTGTCCAGTTTTCCTGGTGCGGGGAACACCTGGGTGAGGCACCTGATCGAGCTCGCCACAGGCTACTACACAGGCAGTTACTACTTTGATGGCACCCTCTACAATAGAGGTAACAGTAGCACTACTCTACCATTGATCATAAATCTTACCATTTTAAAAGCTTGCTTGTCTTTGACGGACACAAATCAAACCACTCTGAAAAATATTATTGCACAGACATTGGATGGAATGAATTTATCATCATTGCTATCTTTTTGCATATAAACAGGCTGATGTCTCTAATGGACAGTGGGAATTTAACCAAAGTTTAATCTACCACCACAACATCATGAGATTATATATACATACTGTATATATAACTGTTTTTAAGAAGTTTGGACTGATTTAAACAGTAACTCCAGAGTTTGTGAGTTTTGGAATGATTTATTAAAAACAGCAGAGCCTCTTTTTTTTTTTTTTTTGAAGTTTCTCGACATTTTTCTTATTTTTCTTCAGCTCCTACCATGCAGCTTTTGAGATGGCTTGATAATGTGCATTTGGGCACAGCTGACCTTCTCTTTTCTTTCAAATGCCAAACTTTATTGAGGATTTTTTTTTTTTCTATCATTAAAGAACTTGACCTGCCTTGAAAGTCAGAGTGTCTTTTCAAATCCATCACAGAACCTGACACATTTGCCTGAGGGGGGCCGTGGAGCCCATGCCTGGACTAACACCATTTCTGATGCAGTTTTTGGAACGTATGTGTTTGGATTCAGAGGCGGCACTGGGCGGTCGCCACATGCAGTTGGCTGAATATTCTAATCCTTTTCTCCTCCCAACTGTGCAGGCTTCAAGGGTGAGAAAGATTACTGGAAGAGTGGAAGAACCATCTGTGTGAAGACACATGAGAGCGGCCAGCGGGATATAGAGATGTATGACTCAGCAATACTGTTGATAAGAAACCCCTACCGCTCACTCATGGCTGAGTTCAACCGCAAGTGCGCCGGGCATCTTGGTTATGCTTCTGATCAGCACTGGAAAAGCAAAGGTATTATGAGTACAGTATAAGTTAAGCTCTTCTATGACACTTTATGTTAGTGTTATTTTAGTATTCTTTTATATACTGTTATAGATTTTATTAAAATTATTCATTATAATTTAATAACTTTTTTTAATTTTGTTATTTGTTTTAGTAAATTTGTTAATTTTTGTTATTTTTATATATTACTATTTAGGTTTAATTTAATTTGTTCAGTTTTAGTTTAGTTCATTTTTAGTAAGTATTTATTTCCAGTTAATTAAAAGCCAGTTAAAAGCTTGTCCAATTAATTTTGTAATCTCAGAGAAATTGCTTTCACTACCATAATGGTTATCACACAATATTAGAATTTTTTGTTTTACTTCATCAGTGGCTGTCAGTATTGCAAATATATACATACAGTTAAAGTCAAAAGTTTACGTACACCTGCAAAATGTTAAATTATTTGACCAAAATAAGAGGGATCATACAAAATGCATGTTATTGTTTATTTAGGACTGACCTGAATAAGATATTTCACATAAAAGATGTTTACATATAGTCTACAAGAGAAAATATTAGCTGAATTTATAAAAATGACCCTGTTCAAAAGTTTACATACACTTGATTCTTAATATTGTGTTGTTACCTGAATGATCCACAGCTGTGTTTTTTTGTTTAGTGATAGTTGTTCATGAGTCCCTTGTTTGTTCTGAACAGTTAAACTGCCTGCTGTTCTTCAGAAAAATCCTTCAGGTCCCACAAATTCTTTGTTTTTCTAGCATTTTTGTGTGTTTTAACCCTTTCCAACAATGACTGTATGATTTTGAGATCCATCTTTTCACACTGAGGACAACTGAGGGACTCATATGCAACTATTACAGAAGGTTCAAACGCTCACTGATGCTCCAGAAGGAAAAACCATGCATTAAGAGCCGGAAAACTTTTGAACAGAATGTACATTTTTCTTAATTTGCCTAAATATCATATTTTTTTCATTTAGTACTGCCCTTCAGAGGTTACTTACATGTTTCCCAGAGGACAAAAAAAAAGTTACATTTACCCTGATCTTCCTGATCTGAAGTGTATCAAAATGAAAACAAAACCTTCGGGGTAACCTTCGAATTAAGTTAATTTTTCTTACCCTATTTATCTATTGGCAGATATTTGTATCTATCGTTTCAAGTATCAACTCGCTTAATTTTGATGATTTTTTTCCAGAAAACAAGACAATACAAAAACAAGACATAAGTAATTTTGCTTCTCAAGTAAATTTATCTTGATTTAACATCATTAAAAACATAGTTGTTTGTAGTGTATTGAGGATAAGGTTGAGGACAATGTTATTATTCGAGAATCAAGTATTGAAAAAGTCATATTTATAGACCACAAAACTAAATATTAAGTTCAACATATCTATGATATAACGGCCCTGATAGAAACGGAATGTAATACTACATTGTGGAGTAGTAGAATAACAAACACATTTTCTTTTAAACCTTTTAAGATCAAGAGAATATGACATGGCAAACAGACTTAGCATACATCAAAGTCAAACGAATAGTGACTGTCCCCATCCCGCTAGATTCCTTCAGAATGGAACGAAAGCTTTCAGCTGGACTAGACAAGACTTGCCTTGCGGAATGACGCTAGCCGGATGCTAATCCTCCCAGACCTGATTAGCACGCCGCCAACATGCTCCAGATGTGTCTTTATTAAGAGCTGGTGCAATACTCTTTTGCACATTGCCAAACTGGGATCAGCTGCAAATTCAGACAATGTCACTGTAGTGCTAGTGGCAGGAATCCCACCAGGGGGCTGTTTCTGCTGAGTTATTAAACGAGACGCAAAAGATCAATCGGTTAGCATCATTCAGCATCAAATTTCTCACTGTTTAAGTTTGGTCCATAATTTAATACCAGTGAGTAGGTTTACATAGAGCTGGAATGTGTAACTTTAAACAAACACTCCCCCATCTGTCATTGGTCTGAAAAAATGATAGTAACACCCCCAAAATTACATCACTGGTCCAGTCAGTGTTGCTATGCTGGACTGGTTGGGGTGTTCAAAGAAAAAAGAGCCATGTTTAATAGTGCCATAGCCATACTGTTTACAGTGTTTGGGTAAATCAACTAAGCTGGGATGGAAGAACATTTTTAATGCTGGAAAACACACACACACACACTTAAAGGGATAGTTCATCCGAAATTGAAAATTCTGTCATCATTTATAGTTATTTTAGTAGTTATATGAAAAAAGTATCAAAATGAAAACAAAACCTTCGGGGTAACCTTCGAATTAAGTTAATTTTTCTTACCCTATTTATCTATTGGCAGATATTTGTATCTATCGTTTCAAGTATCAACTCGCTTAATTTTGATGATTTTTTTTCCAGAAAACAAGACAATACAAAAACAAGACATAAGTAATTTTGCTTCTCAAGTAAATTTATCTTGATTTAACATCATTAAAAACATAGTTGTTTGTAGTGTATTGAGGATAAGGTTGAGGACAATGTTATTATTCGAGAATCAAGTATTGAAAAAGTCATTTATAGACCACAAAACTAAATATTAAGTTCAACATATCTATGATATAACGGCCCTGATAGAAATGGAATGTAATACTACATTGTGGAGTAGTAGAATAACAAACACATTTTCTTTTAAACCTTTTAAGATCAAGAGAATATGACATGGCAAACAGACTTAGCATACATCAAAGTCAAACGAATAGTGACTGTCCCCATCCCGCTAGATTCCTTCAGAATGGAACGAAAGCTTTCAGCTGGACTAGACAAGACTTGCCTTGCGGAATGACGCTAGCCGGATGCTAATCCTCCCAGACCTGATTAGCACGCCGCCAACATGCTCCAGATGTGTCTTTATTAAGAGCTGGTGCAATACTCTTTTGCACATTGCCAAACTGGGATCAGCTGCAAATTCAGACAATGTCACTGTAGTGCTAGTGGCAGGAATCCCACCAGGGGGCTGTTTCTGCTGAGTTATTAAACGAGACGCAAAAGATCAATCGGTTAGCATCATTCAGCATCAAATTTCTCACTGTTTAAGTTTGGTCCATAATTTAATACCAGTGAGTAGGTTTACATAGAGCTGGAATGTGTAACTTTAAACAAACACTCCCCCATCTGTCATTGGTCTGAAAAAATGATAGTAACACCCCCAAAATTACATCACTGGTCCAGTCAGTGTTGCTATGCTGGACTGGTTGGGGTGTTCAAAGAAAAAAGAGCCATGTTTAATAGTGCCATAGCCATACTGTTTACAGTGTTTGGGTAAATCAACTAAGCTGGGATGGAAGAACATTTTTAATGCTGGAAAACACACACACACACACTTAAAGGGATAGTTCATCCGAAATTGAAAATTCTGTCATCATTTATAGTTATTTTAGTAGGATTTATATACTATTACACTGTTCCAAATTATTATGCAAGTGACCTATCAATAGGATTTCAGTACAATAAAGAGTCAGATTTTTGTTTGTGTTGTTTTTCACATCTTTTTAGATAACTGGTATCAATCTCAGACAGGTTTGTTCAATAGTTTTCTAGGTCTTCTTAGGTAAATGGAAACCCTACTTAAAGAGGTTGTTCCACGTTATTAAGCAAGTCACAGTTCTCATGAAATATGGTGAGGAAGAAAGATCTTTCTGAAGATGAAAAGTATGAAACAATGCAATGTCTTGCAAAAGGCATCAAAACAAATATTTTGCGAAAAGCAAACAGAGATTATTGAACTGTCAAAAGATTTGTGTGTGACTTCGAGCACAGAGGAACTTGGTCAGATAAAGATTTATTAAGGAAAGTTTCTGTCAAACAAATGAATTGTATTGCAATGGCAGCTGTAAAAAAGCCACTGCTGAGCAGCAGACAGGTGTTTGAAGCTACTGGAGTCTCAAGATCCTCTTCATGCAGACTGGCAGTTGTGTGTAAAGCTGCGTTTCAGTCACTGCTAACCAAACCTCACAAAGAGAAACCTGCACAGTGGCTGTAGAAACACATTTTCAAACTGTTTAGCACCATGGTATTTATGCAGCATGGGATAGTGTGTTGTCCTGCATGAAAATCCTTTTATTTCCGAGAGCACTATTCTTTCATTTTATATGGCGTTATGAACTCCTCACAAATCTTTTGACAGTTCAATAATTTCTATTTGCTTTTCGCAAAATATTATTTGTTTTGATGCCTTTTGCAAGACATTGCATTGTTTCATACTTTTCATCTTCAGAAAGATCTTTCTTCCTCACCATATTTCACTTGAACTGTGACTTGCTTAATAACGTGGAACAACCTCTTTAAGTAGGGTTTCCATTTACCTAAGAAGACCTAGAAAACTATTGAACAAACCTGTCTGATATTGATACCAGTTACCTGAAATGATGTGAAAATCAAAACAAACAAAAATCTGACTCTTTATTGTACCGAAATCCTATTGATATGTCACTTGCATAATAATTTGGAACACAGTATATTATTTATGAATATTTTGAATTAGCTTTTTTTATTCAGCATTCATTTTAGTTTTAGTAATTTTGGTATGTGCTTTTATAATTTTTGTTTTTAATATATTTTATTTAGCTTTAATTTATTTTCTTCTCTTCTATTTTTAGTATTTATTTCAATTAACATTTATAATTTTTTGCTGTTTTTCATCTAATATTTATATTTCATTTTATTTCACTTTTATTTAAATGAACAAAAACTAATGAATAGATTTAGTTTTAGTTAACAACACTGCTCCAAACTGGCATGACCTTCTTTCTTCTGCAGAACACAAAAGAAGATATTTTGAAGAACGTCCATACAACAAGTCAGTGGGGTCCAAAAATAACACTGGACCTGTTTGTCTTTCATTATGCAAATGTTGTGTGTGTGTGTGTGTGTGTGTGTGTGTCTAAAAATGTCATACAATGACATGAGGGTAAATTATAACAGAATTTAAGCCTTTATTAACTATAAATTGTCAAATTTCTTTGGCACCCATGACATTTTTAGGCCCCTAAGGATT